AACAGAACAGAACAGAACAGAACAGAAGCAGAAGGTGGTTCTTAAAGAGACAGAGGCCAATTTCAAGGCGTTTAGAAGAGGAAGTGATGAGAAGATAAGTTTATTTTCTATTTAAACATAAAAACAGCATTTTAATAACAACTAAAGGTGACATAGATACTTTATTATGGTATAGTATATAAATAGATGCCTGAGAAACACATACTGTTGGCCCTTTAAAGGAACAGTAACAAAACCAGCAGATTTGAGAAACACACCAGAAAAGTGGTGAAAGAGAAGCTGGTAAAGTTACAATAAAGAAGAATTCAGACCAAAGTATTGTAGTTCCACTTTATAAAGACCCAAATGAAGGATTTAAATGTAAAAAGGAAGGTTTTAAAGTATCATATGTCTAGAGCAAAGGCTTTGGCAGCAAATTAACAAAACTGGAGAGAAACAAAAACGCTGACTGAAGAAAACAGAAAAACTGAATTACCAACTGAGGCCAGATGAAATGATGGCACTCTGGGAAAATGAACACAAACTAAATTAACTAACAAGAAACACATAATAAGATCTAAACTGAAGGGGAGAACAGAACTGAAGTAACAAACACAAAAAATGATAAGGTCAACACAAGAACCCCACCCATACAAAAACATAAACCATAAAAGGAACTGAGCATGAACTAAAAGACAAAGAACCATGAAACTATGAAACATGGATCTTCACAACCAAGATGGCCACTACAGCTAACTAAACTTAGCCAACACAAACCTTTATTTGATGGACAGATACTGAGCTAAAGTTTGATGTGTTGGTAGTGAAGAGTCATCCACAACCCTCTGAGCACTAACAGTTCTCACAATAGAACCACACTGCATTGAATGCCATTTACAGTGTTTTGACAAAACGTTAATAACTCAGTCTCCTCTTTATAAGATGTTTATATAGTTTACAAGATGATTTTAGTTTACAACCCTGTAATATGTAAACTGGTTTAAACCAGACCCTGTCCTTCACTTTGCTTCATACAAGGGTCTGGACTTGATGCGTAGAGAATCGATTTCTTGCAGGAGGTGTGGCCTCTGCTGACGTTTAAAATGATTGGATCAGTTGGCTGTGACATATGTCGCTGTGACGGAGGCTAAGCTAAGAAGCTAACCGGAAATCACATGTGCTGTAAACCAGTGGTTCCCAAACTTTTTGTCTTCTGACCCACAAAATATCCATGGCAAAAACTTGTGACCCCAAATATTACTGGTCTGAGTACATGAACTTTGTTAATAACCCTAAAAACACAGGCTTTTTTGACAGTCTAAACAGCTTGTACACAAATATAAATACTTATTTTTACTTATTTTGTGTTTTTGTAATAATTATATGGACCATATTACATCAGCAATAATTTTATTACCCTTTATAATTGATTTCTGGAGATTATCCAAGGTGCTTCATGACCCATAATTGGGTCACAAGCCCAAATTTGGGACCGAAAGTGCACTGGTTCCCAAACTTTTCATTTGACCCACAAAATAACAGTAGCAGAGACCTGTGCCCCCAACTATTTTTGGAGGATAAACATTTATATCAGGTCAACTAAACATGGGCATAGTAACAATATTTATACACTACATTTATCCATTTTAAATATACTAACCCCACTCCTTTGTAACAACTAAGACAAAAATGTAATTATTCAGAAAATCTTTTCAGGACCCCACCTTGATGTTTAGGGACCCCACTTTGGGTCCCGACCCCAACTTTGGGAAACACTGCTGTAAACAACCCTACTGAGAGGAGAAATATACCGAGCCAAACGAGACGACTGTAAATGAGAGCTGCTGCTTTGTCAGACAAATTTAATTTAATTTGGAAGCCTCATCAACACAGACTGGCTTCATTCACTTCCTCCACTGCTGTCTGCTAAAATAACTAGCAGACACTGTGCAGAACATCAACGTCGTTCAAAGCTCCTCCTTCTGTTCTCTGATTGGCCCAGGTAAAATAAACTACAAGAGACACTGCGCAGAAATTTGACGTTCTGTTCTCTGATTGGCCCGGCTAAAAATCTGCCAGTAAAATCCATTTCAATGGGAGAAGTCCCAGACGGAGCAGAGAAGGGAAACTAGAATTGAGCGGCGCTGCGTAGGAAGGCAAGGACCAGGCTATGTAATATGTGTTAGGCATTAGGAGTTTGACAAGCTGCAACAAACACCTAAACATAAATAATCATATTATGTTTGTCTAAATCTAAAGCAAAATAACTTAATGTTAACTTAACTAACTTATGATAATTTAATTAACAGTTCCAACTGAATGTTTCTGTATGAAAAGGACGGTTTCTTCACTGGTTTAAAATGTTTGCTTCAATATTTAGATTACAAAGAAAACATAAGTTAAAGAAATGTTCTTGTGACGTGCAGTGTTTTTCCCTGTTCTGTGTGTTTCAGCGGGCCAGCTGGCAGGCAGCTCCTCAGTAGAGATGTACAGGCAGGTGCTGCTGGCAGGGTGCCGCTGTGTTGAGTTAGACGTGTGGAAAGGACGAACTGCTGAAGAGGAACCTGTCATAACCCACGGGTTCACCATGACATCAGAAATCTCTTTCAAGGTGAGTCCATTAACCTACTTCCTTCCACCTTTCGATGACATCATTGGTTGAGGTGCTTCCCCACCTGAGCCTCCAGAGTCCTACCAACCAACAGGGCCCAGTTTGGCAGCCTCTGGCTCAATGGTCTCAATTCATGGGCTGCATCCACATGAGTATGTGGCCCACCTGGACCACGTGGGCCACATCCTTCCCAGTCCGGGTAGGCTGCATGAAACTGTTGTGAAATGAGACGGTCTAAACCCAAATTAGTAATCATTACTAACACCATTTATGATAAATAAACACAGGGATGTCTTGTTTTTACAAAATCAAAAACCAAACAATTCAAGCTCTGTTTATATAAAGTCTTGTGTCCAAGCTTATCATCACTAAATAACTTAAGATTTTAAAACTAATGTTTACGAATAATTGACTCAACATTACTCATGTTTATCATTACTCATCTTTATCAATAATTGTTACTCACATTTATCAGTGTTCATTTCTCGTGTTAATAGAAATTATTAAATGTAAACTGTAGTCAATCAATTTGTTTCTTATACAAGTGCATTTGTATTATTTATTATATTTTATTTTAATTTATTCTGGTTTGTCGTCATGTCCCTCTGTTTTCCTCCTGTCTTTGCTCGGCCCCGCCCACTCACACCTGATCCTCATGTTTCTCCCCCAGGTGTTTCTTGTTTTAGCTCATTAGTTTTTCTTTATATTCTGTTCTTTGTCCTCAGTCTTTGTCAGATCCTTATTTACTGTTTGTTGCTCATGTTCATGTCAAGCCAAGTTTTGTGTTTTGTTTGCTGCCACGTCAGCCTTCTGTTTTAATAAATATATTTGCCGCCTCACTCAGTTCTGCATCTTGGGGTTCTATCCAACCAAGCCTTTCATAACAATAAGGAAACAGTCTAAACTGAGTTTTGGTTTCATACGATGAATTTTGATCTTTGCACTCGGAATTGTGTGAAATAAAATATTTAGCTCAAATAAAATATATTCACAATCATTGTTTAAAATCAGAGTTGTAAAGTAACTAAGTACAAATACTTTGTTACTGTACTTAAGTAGAATTTTTGGGTATCTGTACTTGAGTAATTATTTTTCAGCCTGCTTTTTACTTTTACTCCCTATATTTTTAGAAAAGACAAGAAGTAGAGAGTCGTTAGTTTTATTTCATTTTTGCTTGTTTTCATTGCAGCTTGTTATTGTAAAAAAATAAATGCTATCCATATAAACTGAGCCTCTTATAGAGTGAATTTAACTGTGGTTGAATGAGAAGTGTAAATACGTATATAAAACTTTGATACTGTATTAGTTTGTACACAAACAAATCATGTCACACTCAAGCAGGACAGAATCATTCAAATAAAAGTACTGTACTTAAGAAGTATTTGTATTTCATGAATTATATTATTACATTTGGCCGCAGCCCTCAGATAGATTTTCATTTTGGGGAAAAGCTTTGTGCAGCCTTGATATATGTATATAAACTGAAACAGCTGGACTAGTGCATCCTAAATTTAACTTTAATTAATTATTTTAATACAACAGTCATTTCTGCAGTTTTTGGGGAGGTCACCTCCAAATAAATGTCCTTACAGAAAATCTAACTGCTCATTTTAAATCAATACTTTTACTTTTAATACTTAAGTACAACAAATATCAAATACTTTGAGTTTTGCTCAAGTAATATTACTAAAGAAGACTTTAACTTTTACCAAAGTAATTTTTGTTAGTATACTTGTACTTTTACTCAAGTATCACCTTGTGGTTCTTTATACAACACTGTTTAAAATCCAGCTGCTGTCGTTTTTTTCCTCTTTGTGTTTTAAATTGTATCTTAATTATTTTGTCTTCCGTGTTGTAAGTTTTTGAACACAAACTGTTTGTTTGTAGGAGGTGATTGAAGCCATAGCGGAGTGCGCCTTCAAGACGTCACCGTTCCCTGTCATCCTGTCGTTTGAAAACCACGTCGACTCGTGAGAACCTTTTAACGTTCTTCATAAACTCTGTTAAACAGTGCACCGACTCACACACAGCACAACTACATCGATTTAGCTCTTTTATTCACTCACATGTCAAAACTTTCAGCTCAATCAGAAATATATTAACTATTTTCTTGTAACTTTCATATTGTTCAAAACATTTCACTTTATATAAAATTAAATCTTCAGGGATTTCTTCAGTTTTCTGCTTCAGTGTAGTCTTTTTCTTCTGCTTTTTTCTCAGCTACTGTTTTGCTACTTTTAGCTGATCTTACACTACATTTAGTTTTAAGTTTTAGCAATTTTGCCCTCTGTTTTGCAAATTTTAGCTATTTTTCCATCCATCCATCCATCCATTTTCTTCCGCCTATCTGGGGTCGGGTCACGGGGGCAGCAGCTTCAGAAGGGAGGCCCAGACCTCCCTCTCCCCAGCCACTTCTTCCAGCTCCTCCAGGGGAACTCCAAGGC